ATTTTGTAACTGATTAGATATACTTTTTTTGAATTTGTTTTTTTTTTTGTTTTGCCTCTCTTTTGCCGCGATGCTACCTCTATAATTAGCTAGATGCCCTTCTCCACAATGCACACATTTCGTTTTTGCGTTCTTGCAGTTTATTGCAGTTGGCTGCAACGTACACATATTGGCTCTTTTCCACATTATCCTTAAGTATGACCACAAGACTGGCATCTCTTGCATTGAGTTACCAAATTAGTTTTTCTTAGTGGTAGCATTTTCAATTACATTTTCGTCGTTTCTTAAAATCAGCATAAACATGTTCAATAGCTGTTTTGTCTTATATCCTAATTTTACAATAACGTCCAAAATTTTTGTACTACTATTTGCAATATTGATTCCTTACTGGCAGTATGATGAAGCTTATTAACCATGATTTTGCTTGTTAGATTTTGCTTGTTTTCTTTCAAATGTGCCATATATTGAATATAGAGGAGATGCTAAATTGTCCGCAACTTTGCATTATATTTTTTACGTCAATGTCAAACTAGAGATAATGTTAGTTTTGGTACGATTAAATGCAATTTTTTTCAAATAGTTTCATATAAATGATACAAAAGCATTTTTATTCCGTCAGTCTTCAAATATAACATTATTGATTTCAAATAAATCAAAGTACGACTCAAGTCGCCATTTTCATTACACTTTTTCGTAAATGGAATTAAAACTTTCAGAACTCCTTAACACAAAACTAAACTGTTCAACAGAGGTGAAGAACCTAGGTCTCACCTTTGACAGCAAGTTAACATGGAACTCGCATTAAGAAAAAAGAGTTAAAAGAGCATACATTGCTTGCGAACAATGCCGCCGAACCGTGGGGCGCACCTGTGGTTTCTCCCCCAGAGTCGTCATAAAACCTATGCTAACATACGGTGCAGTTGTCTGGGTACCGAAAACCCAAAAATTAACAGCTATTCGTAAACTAGAACAAATTCAAAGAACAACCTATCTCAACATAACAGGAGCCATGAAAATAACACCGACTAGCGAAATTGAAGTCATTCTTAGTCTCACTTCCCTTGATATTTTCATCAAAAAGGTTACTCTGACGACAATAACACGCCTGCGCACTGTTAGAATAGAACCTGATGTAAGATCTGGTGAGGCGAGACGTCACTTTTGGCAGGAGGCGCTTGATACGCTCCCACTGCTTCAATCGAAATATATCTTTCATAAGCCATATAAAGTTATAATAGAACAAATAGAAGAGCCAGAAGTGGCAGGTACGATTCATATCTATACCGACGGTTCTAAAACAAAACAAGGCTCAGGATGTGGAATATACTCCAAATTCTTAAACTTTATCATAAAATGGGCTGTGAGCAATAGTGCCAGTGTAGTTCAAACAGAGCTAACGGGGATTGTCATAGCAGCAACAGAAATAACCAGAAAGTATATCGCTTGAAGGAACATGCTTATCTATACAGATAGCAGACAAGCACTACTTACCCTGAACAGACCACAAATTTATTCAGGGTTAGTACTAAAATGTCATGAAGCTTTGGCCGAAGTATCTATCAACAATGTGGTCACCTTAAGATGAATTAAAGGTAACGCCACATCGAAAGGTAACCGTCTTGCTGATTCACTAGCCAAGAAAGCAGTCAACCAAATACTTTTTGGACCTGGCTCTTCTATTGGCAAATCGGTAGTGACAGACCTAATTAAAGAACATTCCCTTGTGAAATTCAAGGAAAGATGGGATGAAACAAGAAACTGTAGAGTTGCCAGGGAACTCTTAAGTTATCCTGACAACACTGCAGCAAACAAATACTTGACTATGACTAGACAGCATCTCCATATCATGGGGCTGTCAGAATTCGCACTCTGCAGAGGGTGCAAATAAGAAGATGAGACCATCGAGCATATCCTTTACGATTGCTCGACGCTCTAATTTATTATAAGATTTGTGTTCGGCGAGTATCGGTTAACACCGACCGATATAAGAGAAGCACCTCTTGGCGACGTTGTCAACTACAATAAATATATAGGCTGGCTCACGAGCTAGGAGGTGCCTATCATGTTAGGAGGATGCACAATGGGCCTAATGAGGCCTAAGTGCCGTGGGGGTAACCCACCTTCCACACGCTACATATACAGATACACTTTTCCGTCACTTGAAGTGCGTCCATTTGTCATTTCGTCTCTACTTTATTCTATCTCGATGGTGCCATAGGTACTTCATTGTTGATTAGCTTTTTAGATATTGTCTTAAAATCATCTTCATTTTTAACATTATTATTATTATTATAATTATCACTTAGAACTTGTATCTCAACTTTTTAGTGTTTTGTAGTTAAAGCAGGTAGTTTACCGAATTCAACAATACTATCTATAATTACTGGTTGTGGGAATTGTTTTTTTTTTAGTTTTTTCAACTATTTTTCGCACGACAGGTTCATTCTGCTGTTATGGGTATAGTGTGGTATATTCATCTTTGGTTTTTTTACTTTTTACGGTCTTTAATACAGAATAACTCTTAATATTAAAAAAAATTCCCATTACATGGACATTAAATGTTTTTTTTTAAATATGCAGGTTTTCTATTTTAATTTAATAAATTACCTTCTATATTTGTTTTAAAAAGGTTGGTAGTGTATTTTGGTAGCACATATATTTTATAGAGTTAAACCGTAACTTTTAATATAATATATGAATATCAACAAAATAACAATGTTTATAAACTAATCAAACAAGAACTTTGTGCCCATGGAGAGTTGTAATTTGGAGGTCATAAACTGCAACATAATATATTCGACCGAAAGCCATTTGCCATAAGGAAACTGTTACTGTAAGCCATATACACACAGTCTTTACCTCTTTTGATTAATTTTAATGTTAGGTTCATTGATAATTTATTTACAAAGGTGTAAAAAAGTACATTTAGTAATAATTATTAACTTACCTACATAGGTGGCCCAAAATGAAATGAGTCTATTATTGATATGACAGAGATCTCCTAACAATTTGATATCGTACAAATATCCAACATCTGGGTCTGCATAAAGTAATTTTAAATGTTTAGTTATACTATCTTCGTCAGTTTCAACTACGTGAACAAACAAATTACGGTAATGTAAGTACAAACCTGAAAAAGAGAAACATGAATCATGCATAAAGAAATCAAAACTTATTCACATAATATAATTCAAATATATTCTGAAAATTTACCCACTAAATGATAAAATATTTGGGGTGCTCGTATAACTATCATCTTGCCCTGTCTTAAATTAAAACAAATATATAATTTTTTTTCTGTTGAATGTAACTAGTTTTTTTTTTCACGACTTGATATCTTTGTCAATATTTTCTGTGGATTGTGATGGCATCTATATGACGAAGGTTTGATGATGGATTTTAGCCAAAAGCTTACGAATTTAATCTTTATTTAACCGATTCTGTGATTCTAGGCGAAAGTTCTATTAAATTGAAGAAACAATTAGAGCCAAATAAGGTGATTTCTATAACATTTTTATTCTTGCAACTTGCAAATCCTATTGTCTATCTTTTGTGGGCGCCTTAACTAAGCGAGCGGGTAAGATTGCAAGTTCAAAACCTGGTATTTATAACCGCATCTTGCCTTGTTTCCAAAGGTAACTAAGACTTGGTCTGGTTATCTATCGATAGTCGTTGGGTTATGGGGAATTTAGTAGTCATAGACAGCACGTTACATAATTTTATTTTGTTTGCTTTTATCTGCAGTTTTATTAATGTTCCAGATCAATTTTATGTATATTTTATGCATAGATTTTGAGTAACATTTGTTAAAATAACTATGTATTAAAATTTGTTACAAAACAATTCTTATTACTCATTCAAAAATTATGGAAATATTAAAAATATCTTAAATAAAAATTGCTAATAAGATCAAAATGATAATTGTTAAATGCTGATGTCAACGAGGGTTACTTAGTTTAAATTTTTATTAACTCTTTAATTTTAAATGGAACACCTGTAACTCTTTTTTACGTGGGCTCTACTTTTAACTTCTACACATTATTTGTGTGATGAACCCCATAAATTCCATATTGTTTGCAAGATTTCAAACTTACAGGAAGAGCAACATTATTAGTATTATAATTATTATACTATTTGTATCTATAATTGTTTATAAGTGCGCAGTTATAGTTATATATTTAGCCGCGGCCTCTTAAGTCTAGTGTTTTTCCCATGGTATTCTGGTGTTCGTTCATAGTCTTGTAGCTGTGTTTTTAGATTTAAAATTTTTTTAGCGTTCTTTCCGGTTCTAGATCGAATAGTTTGTGTCGCCATCTTGTTAAAGTTTCTGAATTCTATGATAACCTGTGAGGTTTCCCAGTGTTGTCAAAAATTGAACTTAGTAACAACACAAAAACTATGATATGTCGAACACATGACTTCCCTCTAAAGTTTTAAAAAATATTAGGTAGTATCCATGTAATCAAAATGTCTTTAGATCATACAATAAAGATAAAAATTATTCATTAGATTTTTTTGTATCTTCATTGCCATCAAAATACTTAAATTAGGTACTGTTGAGAATTTTCTTCTAAAAGCATAAATATACCTTTAGGTGTCCCCTCAGATGCTCCAACTATGCCCAAATTGGATATATTAAAGCATAAATTTAAAATTGGGTGTTTTTCTCTTCGGCCGTTTTTTTATATATCGTGAATACAGATACAGTCATCATCGCGAAAATATCTAACTTGGGTGCCTGTAAACGTAACGGACACACGAATTTCGAAAAAAAAACTAGAAAATAGTATTAAGTGTTTACATAAAATAACAAAAAAAAAAAAATTGCGGGTCACGCATAAATAACAGAGAAATTTAAATTAATACTTGCGAATTTTGGTGATTCCAACCTAAGATTTTTCGATTTTCGTGTAAAGCGTAAGCAAGCTTGCCAAACATTTATAACAAAATCTAGAATAATAATTGACAGAATCGATCAGGTACTTTTATGAATCGAATACATATTAAAACAATGCTCATATCACGCATGAAAAGGAAATTATTGGGAATATAATAATATATTTTTCTTAATAATCCAATTTTTTTTATACTCATATTTTAGGCATTATAAAAAATAGTACTTTTCAAATATATGACCGGAAACCCCACAAAGTATCTTATTTTTGGCGTAACATTTCCAAACACTTTAAAAAGCACTACTTTTATTAATTTATTTCGTTGATTTTCCTAAAAAACTTAACTTTTAATTTCCAGTCACATCCAGAGATTTTTTATCCATTTTGGTTAAATTGTACATATTAATTAAATATTAATATTACTCCATCTATAAAGTAATAAACAATAATTATTTTGGGTTATCCAGAAGTTTTTAAACTTTCAAACAAGAAAATATTCTGACAAATGAATTGTCAACCAAAGTCAATGACTATATCAACTAAAGAGGACAGCCGAATTCATTCAATTTCTGCTGAGTCCGGCAAGGCGTGCCGTCAACATTGAAAACTTTCAGCCGTCCCATTTAAAAACGTACATCAATACAAATTAATTTTTAAATTACGTTTTCTTTTGTTTATGTTTAAACTAAAAGATATTTCAGATATTCAAAAGATCATTTTACCAGAGAAAAAATTTAACTCATCTGAAAATTATAGAAGTAAATAAATATGTAAATAGAAGGTAATAAATTTAAATACTATGGCCATGTTTTCTAAACATATTTTTAATGAACTCATATTTAAGAAATTTAACATGATAAAGTCGTAATTTATATACAGAGTGAACAAAAATTAACTTAACTTATTATTATGTACATTCCTGATAAGTTTACAAAAAAGTTTTGATAAAAATTTCATGAAATAAATTAAGTTAATAATAAAAAACACCTTCGTGCTTAATAAGAAATATACTGGGTTTACCAGTATTCATAAATTACAAAAAAAATATATTTCGCGTGCGTGCGCGAATTTCGAAACGTCAGCCGGGCGCGCTCGATTCGCTCGCTCCTTCTTCTAGTAGTAAGGCCGTTGTTGGAACAAGCGTAGCTAAATCTTATGGTGTAGGTGTAAAAAGGGTGCGCGTCCTTTTTACACCTACACCATAAGAACTACACTCGTCCCAGCAACGTTCTTTTCACATTGGTTGACAACTTAGATAAAAGAAACGTTGACAATGTAATAAGATAAATTTTATATTTCAAAAAAAGTTTAAAAACTGTTGGGTTACACAAAGTAATTAAGTTTAAAAGTTTTCGAAAAGTATTTTAGAGACCATGCAATATTAATATTTAGTCAATATGTATTAAAATTTAATTAAAATGAATGTATAAATAGCCGGATATGGCTGGAAATTAAATGTAAAAGAGTTTTTTAAGAAACGAAATAAATTAATAATTTTTATGGAATTGACACTCGATTGCCGTACATTACCATCGATAGTGTTATGGATTGTCCAATAATTTTTCGAATACAGGCACTCAAAAATTGGCAACATGGCTATAGATAATAATAGAAGTTTTTTAGGAAAAGGGTCAACTTTCGTTTAGCCGAAATGTGTTATACAAAAACTGTTGCCATGACAACCATTGCCATGGTAACCAATAAACAAAAACCCAAATCTTGTGGTGAGGAAATGCATAGTTGCCAAGTTAGAGATTATTTAATATTTACTTTAGTTTAGACGAAATCAGTTATGGTAAAACTGTTGCCTTGGGAACGCTTGACATAATAACGACTAAACAAAAAGCCAAATCCCATAGTGAGAAAATGCGTGGTTGCCAAGTTACAGATGATTTAATTTAGCTGTAATCAGTTACGGAAAAAATATTGCCATAGAGACACTTGTCATTTTTAAGAGATGTTTCTAACGTTACAGCTTAATTTTGTAGTTAGATGGCAAATCCAGACATGTTGAAAAAGGTAAAAATAAGTAAGCAATACATATTATAATGTTTATGTGATTCTGTACACTTTTAAATACTGAAAATATGTCATAATCCATATAGTTTTGAATATGTACAGTGTAGGGAAAGTATTCATATAGGTATATCGTTTTGCATAGAAAATCTTGAAACACAGCAGTTTGTTTGTATAAATGTTAAAATTACCAAAAATAAACATAGTGGTTTTGCCATCCAACTATAATTTTTTTTTTAAATTCATTTGAAATTCTTTTTCACCCTGCGTAAAATTCTGTATGCGTCACAAAACACATGTATGTGTTTTACGGTGTGTTTACGATTTTGGTACATTAAAAAAATAGGGCTTCTATCTTCAACGGCCTTTGACATACATTTCTTCTAGTCAAATCTAAAGTTTTCTTCTTCTGTTTTTTGTGAAATTTATAGAAATCCAGTGTTGTCAGATTACTAAACTAGATTATCTAATCCGTAGCCGGTGCATAGAAAATAACCACTAGTCATTTAAACGAGATTTGCAAATCTGGATTAAATTTAAAAACGTTGCATATGGGCGTAAATTATCTATAACTTGGCAACTACGCATTTTCCCACCACGAGATTTGGGTTTTTGTTTAGTTGGTAATATGATAAGCGTGCCCATGGCAACATTTTTTGCATAACTTATTTCAGTTAAATGAAATTAAACAAAAACCGTAATCATCTACAACTTGGCAACTACGCATTTCCTCACCATAAGATTAGGGTTCTTGTTTACTCATAGCCATCACAATTGTTATTATGACAACAGTTTTTGTATAACAGATTTCGGCTAAACGAAAGTTGAACCTAGGAAAATTGAGGTTATATAAAAAAATGGTTTATTTTCTGATTAATACACTATATTTTTAAATTTACTTTGGTTATTTTGGTTTTGCCGCAGTTAAATTGATCAAAAATAGTAATTAGTAATCATTTGCATTAAGAATATAGCGAAAATAGTAAAAGTTGTTGTATCCGTATTTTTTACAGTCATCCTAACTTGTACCATCAATAATGGCTCATAATAATCACAAACCTGTAATCGGCTCAATGCCCTTGGTCTCAATAGTTCTACCAAACAACGATATAGCCTTTTCCGACTCCTTGTCGAAAGTATGTCTTCCTATATAAACGACTCGATGAAGGAAGGTCTTTCTGCCAGCTATCTTTAAATTTTCCATAACTAAATCAAACATGGTTTTCCTGACAGGCTCTTCAATGCCAAGTTTTTTCTTTTTCAGTCTGTCCTTAAATTTTTTTCTACCACGAGCTGGTGTTTGTTTAGACATTGGAAGTGTAACAAAATCGTACAAAAACTGTACAAAAATCGTACAAAAAAATTAAAAAAAGGTTGTACAAAAATTATGCACCATTGACATAAAATGACAAAAGTGCTATTAAAATAAAACGATCAAAGTCACTAAACTGACATAAGCACCTTTAAGAATATTATTTCAAAGGATGGCTCGATTGAGTTTTATTGCTAATATAAATATAAAACTAGAATGAAGCTATATAATTCTTGGCATTCTATATTATACTCTTTATAATTTAACAGGCTCCATAAACCCCTTATTTTTAATGAGATTTTTTCAGAAGCAACAAGCTTCATCAACTTATAAAGCTTAATTTTTCCTGAAGATGTCAAGTTAGGATTTTTTTTAATATTTTTATTCAGATTTTTTTTCAGTCTATTCTGTAACACTTTCTTTATATTTCAACAGCCGTTAAAATATTGGCAGCCTTTAAAAATAATTTTGTATTCACTTACTTACTTCTGTCATTATTTAAACGGATTCTTTTAAAATAGTCCTCAAATAACAATCATTTTTAAAGGGATGTTAAAATTCGCTTTTAATTTTTAATGGTTTTGAATTGAAAATTGAGGATTTGTATGGTTATGTTTTCAAACTACTTTAAATAAATCTTAAATGTGATGTTTTCAAGTGTTCTCCTGCCATTTTTAAGGGAATCCGTTAATATAAATAATTTTTAACAGGCCTCTAAAATTTGTGTATACAGAATACCATTATTCGTTAAAAAAATTAACGGTCCGGTAAAAGTTTAATTTTTAAAGGACTCTAAATTTTAATGGATGTGTTACATAATAGACTCCAATAAGCTTCATCAACTTTTGGAGCATGAATTTTCTAAAAAATTCAAGTTGACATCATTTTCCGTTTTTGGGTTAAGATTATTAATAGGCTTCATCTCTCATAGAATTTGATTTTTACTAAAAATTTTATGTTGATATCGCTTTTTGTTTTCGCTTTTAATTTATGATTTTTTAAATTTTAATTCTTTAAATAGGTTAAATTTAAACTGCCACCTTAAGCTCATTGTTATGTTTAAAAGATTGCAAAATACTTATAAGTTATCGCCCTGTAGGCGGACAGAATAGCTTTACCCGAGCGTTTACCATCGGAGTAGTAGTACAAACCCAAAAAAATGAAGGTATCTAGAGATATTTCTTCCACCTGCAGCTGAGAGACTGGCTGTCCCTAAACATCTCTTGGTGACAACCAGCAAGCTTAGTAAGTTCTAAGTACTCACCTTCCCATATCTTACAGTTACAGTTTTTCAGTTAACAAAAAAAAAATATAGTGAAAGGGTAAAATTAAGATAGCACACGCCAATACTCGACTAACATAATATGATTTTAATCGGGTATATTTTAGTAGCATACACTTTCGCAATTTATGAAATATATCGATATAGTTTTGTATGTTACTGCAATACGAAGTAGGTATATTTCGTGACACTGTCGTCGTTCTTTGTCTTGACCTTATCATCTAACACATCTAAAACCGAGAATTTTTCTTTCCCCTTATAAGAGATTCTAACAAAAACAGGGGTAAGCACTAAATCACCGGACATGCAAGTGGACAGTCTTATCGGTGACATAAAGGACAATATGGCGTAACTCGCGTGCGATAGCGAGATTGCGTGTCGTCTTGGATTTTCATCCAAAAACCTTTTGCGAAAGCTCGGTAGTTATGCTTTTCATGCCTTGTCGCATGGACTCGAAGCCCTAATGTGTGTTTTATGACGATCCGAGATTATCTTGTTTAAAGTTGGGGTCATACATAGTCGTACATTCAATCTAATAATATACAGGGTATTTTATGACTGATATTGGATTATTTGGAAATTGACAATGAAACCTATTTTTTTTATAAAATAATGTAGTAAAAAGAATATTTAGGAAATTCCTGAAAACGTCTGTTAGAGATGGAGTCATCGATTGGCTTGTTCATCGATTGGCTTGTTGAGATTTTCAAAAATCTTGGAGAAGAGAAATAGGGAAAAAGTAATTTTGTTACAACAATAAAACAAAAGGAACATCGAGATCAATAATTATAGGGATAAGGATGCATCGAGTTCAATTTTTTTTATTTTAATTCAAATACTAGGAGTTATTAGCGGATTGACAAAACACGGTTAGTATGGTATACAAGGTGTGGAATTTAAATGCGCACTATGGTGATTTAGTAAACTTTAGATACAAAGTTAGTTAATTAAGAAAAGAAAAGTTGCTAAATTATGAACCCATCTTACTGATGTTTTAAAGTTCAAGGCATCAGTTTTCAAGATATGTCCAAAGATGTCAAAAAAAATTAATAAACATTTTTAGCTAGAGCTAAAAGGTTTGTTTCCACATTAGTTTAAAACTTGTTTCTGGTATTTGGAATATGCGCAATCGGTTTTTGTGTTCGCACATAAATTTGCAACTGATTTCAAACCACTAGTCGGTTGTTTCCACATCATTTCGTGACAGTTTGGTAACAGTTCGAGCAGTTTGAGGATTTTATTACAGCATATTGTTAGCACATGGGCATGATACGATCTTAAATGTCTGTCAAATATTGCGGTTACATTTTGTTTTGAGGTTATTTTAGTTAATTTGTAAAAATATTTCATTATTAATTAAATTATTAAAAAAGAAACAAGAATCTAAAAAATAAGGAAAAAATGGATTATTCTGATTAATCTGAATTTTAATGTTGAAATTTTTGGAAATATAACAAAATTTGATTTTTCTCGGAAACGGTCGACTTTAGAGCGTATGACCAAAAGTACATTTTTTGTGTAGAAAAAATTGGCGGTTCAAATGGGCGTCTCAAAACCGTACTTTTTCCAGTGGCGTAGAATTTTTTTTTTAATTTTGACACCCTGTATCTTCAAAATGGTGCATTTTAGAGGGTAAGTTAATAAAAACGTTTTTTCATATTTTTGGACGAGCTATCACGTCCTGAAGTCCTGCGCAGATATTATAAAACACCCTGTATAAGGTAATAAAGAGAATGACATATTTTTTAAGTAATTTGGCACCCGAATAATTGTGTGGCCAGCCCAAGAAGAAAAATTAACCGTTGAAAGATTTTTTTAAGGAGAGAATGGTTTCACTGAAATCATAGGCTTTGTGGATGGCACCCTCATAAAAATCGATAGACAATTGGAGAACCCTGATTCCTATATAAATAGGAAAGGATAATTTTTTTAGGCTCAACTTGTGTGTGATGACAAGCTAAAAATCAGAGATATATTTGTGGGGTATCCAGGCTTGGTACACGATGCTCGTGTATTTAGGACGTCAAAGCTTTTTGGTACCCTACCACAAAAATGTGGCGAATTTCAATTATTAGGAGATAAGGCCTATCGCTTAATGTATAATTTAATGACTGCATTTCCTGATAGAGGTATGTTAACTAGGGCCCAAGTGAATTATAGTATACAACACCCATCTAATAGAATTTATATAGAACATGGTAACGGCCTGTTAAAACAAAAGTGGAGACAACTGTATCACATCAAATTTATATAGAACATGGTAACGGCATGTTAAAACAAAAGTGGAGACAACTGTATCACATCAAATTAAGAAAACATCAGAACTACAGTTCATTTTGCATAAAATAATGAACTCTAGCCAGATAATAATATAAATGATGAAGATGCTACTTTTATTGTATTCTGTAATGTAAGTACTTTAATTGGTGGTCAATATTTAATTATTAACAATTCCAAAACATTTAATGTATTTTTTTATGGAAATAAACGATTTGATATCTAGTTAATAAAATGCAATTATCATTAATATTTTTTATTGAATTTACCTTACTACATATCAAAATAAACATAAATACAAAATTTATTTGACTAAATAACAAACTAAACATTTATTAAAAAAAAATATTAAAACCAAAAATAACTCCTTCATTGCGCTAACTAAATAAAATTATGAGTTCAAATTTCTTAACAATTTTTGCACATCTTTTGTTTAAAAATATCGTTTTTTTCTGTTAACAGATTATTTCTTAAAAGAAATCTAATTTTTGATTTTCTAACTCCAAATGCTTTTTATGGTATTCTTGTTTATCCATTCTCATATTTTCTAAAATCACATTGCGATTTAAAATAGGGTTGCTCCGTCTGGTTATTTTATTTATTTTTAATATGGCATTTACTTTGAACTGAAAGGTTTAGACACATTAGTTTCAGAATCATCTTCCTAAATTAACATTTTCACAGCCGTTAGATTATCTACGGTAGCATTCGATAGTAATATAAATAACTCAACATTTCTTTTTCCCTTGAAAATAATATACATCTCTTCGAGGAATTCAAAAAATTTCGTCTTTGACCTGTTTTGTCTTGATTATCAACATGTTTTTTATAGGCCCTCTGTAGCACTCTCCACATTTTCACATAGTTTTTTCATGTTTTTGATTTTTCCTGTTCCTAATTTTTGTTTATATTCTACATAGTGGTCTAAGAGACATTTTGTATTGTTTGTTGTCCAAATCCAAACTGCTGAAGAATCAGTCAACTCTTCTTGGACTACATAAATAAAATATATGGTTAGTATAACAATGTAAATATTTAACATAAATATTAAATACTTACTTATAATTCTAATGGGATTTAAATTCATATTTAAATTAATCCAAAATTAATCCAAATTCAGAATAACAAAACAGAAACCTAACTTAAATAATGATTCTTATTTTATTTAGCTTAATAGCCTAATCTGTTAGGACTATACATCAGTTTTTCTACTTATTTTTTTTGTTTAGAAATTGAGTTGGCTGTATATTCAAATTATTCTAGGCCAAACATTAAACATTTATCCACTGTTCTCACATCAATCAGAAACTAGTTTCTAATTTTTTTCCAGCGTGACATGCGTACAAGAATGGTTTGAAAATTGTAAGAAACAAGTTTGTAATTTGATGTGAAAACAAACTTATATTCATTGTAGGTAACTTTCCAATTCAGTGTTTTTTGTCTAAAGGTCCACCAACAAGAATGTTTTTTGAACACGGGCCTGTATATTTGTATTATTTTTTTTTACTTCTAGTTCCCAATATAAACTATATTGTTATTTTTGAACGTGTCGATAGTATAAAATTA